GCAAATTAATTTGGTAGAATAATAATAATAATAATAAATAATAATAATAATGATAATAATGATAGTAATAATGATAATGATAATAATACCATTACTTGGATACTTTATTTGTGATACTGTACTCAGCTAATGAACTACTTTTCTCTAAATATCACATCAATGACTTCTCACTGCCAATATTGTATAAGCCTTATATAAATACACCTGCTGTATATAATTAGCGAGGCATGCTGCGAGCCTCATTACAGTTGTGTACGTGTTGATATTGTAGCAGGGTGCTAGGGACGTGTGCTGGTAATTTGTGCCCTGTCGGAAAGATGTTGTTCTAATAAAATGGGAGGAATTAATAAAGGAAAAAGGATATGGCTGGCAAGGTTGGAGGCATTTCATGCCCTGGTATTTAATAATTGCTATCACGATTACATGGCTATCATTGATACTACACATCAAATTATAAATTACAAATTTTATTTGTTCAGAAGATTTTTAAATTCAATCATATAAATCTGTACTTTTTAATTTAATTCAGCTACAGTACATACAACAGTAACTTTAAATGATCAAAATGTAGAAAGGTTTAAATAAAAATAAAGCATTGTTTTTGACGTACAGTAGACTTGCACTTAATATAGTAACTATGATGTATACAGTAGAGCTAATAGAAATTGAAGTTCTATTATATGTACAAAGTATTAAATTATTAATTGAAAATTAAAACGGAGTTAAATAATATTAATGTTCAACTACATTCTTGTATTAGGTAGGCCTTTAAATCACTGGTGAACAAGTAATTTCATTAAACAATAAGAAGTTGGTGTAGCAGAATTTATTTTTAAATGTTGATAATTTACAGATCTTTAAATTTGGAGAATTACAATCTTTTTAAAGAAAAAGGGTATATGGTATAATCTTAAAACCTGTTTTTATAGCAAATCTTAATATAATACTTTAGCATTAGCATTATAAAATGTATGATTATTATTAACAGAAATTTAATTATCTTTTTTGTGTATTTAATTTAAAAGGAAACAATAATGAAATCTGGCTACATTATGGCAAACATGTCCTGGTACTATATTTCCTATTAAATATTCTTATTCCGTTAGAGGTAAATTTATTGATATTTTTTGTACATTACAAAATTGTTATTGTTTGATATTATTGTTTATAATCATTATATTGTTATTATTCTTATTTTGCAGATTCAATGCATTGTTAAGATACAGTAATGAAAATTGATATTGATAAGCTAAAAAATATTAATGCTCAACAAAACACAAATCATAAAAAAAATATGTATTTTTACATCTTATGTTTATTGTTAAGGGCTTTACATCTTATGTGATGTTAAGTTGCCTGATATTTTTGTTAACTGTAGACTTCCAACTTTTCTCAAGTTAATTGAACAGTTTGCCTGAACTAATGCATAAGTACTCTACATATACTCACTTTAGCAATTCTCTTCCAGATAATATTAGATCCACCTTGGTGGATCTATTATCTAATAATATTATCTAATAATATCTAAGTTTTCCCCCCTCCCCCATCTATTTAGTTTATTAATCTAAGAATTTTAATGCCTCGATCAAAATACTGATATATTAACATCTTGAGAAGACAGTTAAAATTCATTCGTTTATTTGTTAAATTTCTGTAGAGCTTGCTTGTATTGTGTTGTGTGTGGAAAGTCTAATGATTTTTTTTCTAAACTTTTTGACAATTCAAGGATGATACTATAGGTTTCCTCTTTTTAAAAAAAATATCTATGTTCATTCGAAAATAAAATTTGAAAAATGAGATGTAATACAGCATGTCTTTTCTAGTTTATTTATGATTTAAAAAAATCTGTCTGTATCATTATTATAATTATCATATTCTAAAGGTTAAGAATTCAACCCAGCGGTACCTGCTGAGAGAAAGCATCAAAAAGTAAACAAAATAAATTGGTAGGCATCCCCCTCCTTCCCCCAACCAAAAAGGGAATTTCTTTGTTCCATTTTACTTGCATTCTACAGTAGGCCTACAGTGTATGTTATATACTGTATATGGCAAAGAAAATTGGAATAATAAATATATACTGACCTCATTTTGATCATCTTCATGAGACATTCCCACTTGTAGTTAAACAAATATTAATTAATCTGCAGTCTGATTTTTCTCTCCTTGTAGATATTTAGGGGATTCCCCTTATCCTTAGCTTAAATGTGAAATACAAGTATTTATAGTGTTGGCCTAGTTTTAGGCACTGGCTTCACCTATACAGCCAATGCTCTGGTTATCTCCTGTTGTCAGCTGCCAGGGATTATAAGCCACTCGCCTGCCGTCTTGAGTTTGTTTTAATATGAGGGGTTTCTAGCTGTTGATGCCATGTGTAATTTGTCAAAGTCGAGGCTGGCAGCTTCAATAACTAGGGCTTCGCTGTTCCACTTGTGTCTGGATGCAACTATTCATTAATAATTTCCAGCAGTTTTCTCAGTTGCATTATGATTTTTAAAAACAAAGTAGTATGGGTGGCTGTCAGCGTTTGTTTGATGAAATTCAAATACGCATTCAAGAATCTTTGGAACCTACTTAGTAATGTTGTGTGTCCTGCAATTAGGTAACACCTCGTTGAAGTTGGTTTATGAGAAGTCACAACAATCAGAGGGAAAGATTGAGCAAAGTGATTTGATGTACTGTGTACCCTAATGTAATTAAATTATTATGAAATGCAGTTTTACGCAAGTCCATGTACAAAACGTATTCAGATTCAATTAATGTGGTTCTCATCTTTACCTTATGATAACGATGAGGTCTTGACATCCACATAAGTTCAAGCTTCCTGTCTAACTGCAATATTACTGCTGCTGTATCATAATAGATCAATTTTTCACGCACAACACTATTTAGACACGTTATATATGTTTTTGCGATAATTGCTAAGCAGATGCTGGTATTGACAAGGATTTACTATATCTATGCGTTGTATCAGCAGCCAGTGTAGAAACGGCATTGAGAATGCTTAGTCAATAACTAGATGAGGCTGTCATATCTTTTCCGTAACATCCATCATTATCTTCACCCAAACAGTATTCTCTAGTAAATTCAATTAAAGGGGTATTGATTTAGTATCTGTATTTTCAATAGTAGTAGCACCAAAGATAATGGACTCGGATCAAACATTATTGACCCTTTACCTAGATCTAACACATTACATTACTCAGGGATTAGGGTCATGGAGCACATGTCTAATTTAAAAAAAAAAAAAAGAGTACAAAGAAGAAGTACAGTCCTCCAACAATTATCGTAAAAGCCAATTTAAAATTTACTGAGAATGACGAAAATATTATTGAATTTGTTTCTAAATCTAATTTAATAGTGATACCATAAACTTTCAATAACAAGGTAAGAAAGAAATATAGAATTCAATTGTTTACAGATAAACAAAACATCACAAGGAAATAAAAATAGTAATATATATTTCATAATTCAGAATATATAATTCTATCATATAAATTGTTTAAACAGTATCCAACTAGAACAACCATCCTGCCCACTATAATACTGTATCCAATTCAATCAGGTCATTTATAAAGTACTTTTCTTTGCTGATTAGGAAGTGCTGCAAATACTGTATTCATATTCCAACCGTCTTGGGTCGCAATAGAAAAGAATACAAACAGACATTGTAATTTGTATATCAGAAACTTATATGTTCGGCGCAATTTGTGGAAATGAAAAGCCAAACCAGTCGATCTTTGCAAAAAATAGATTTTTAGGTGGTATTACAATAAACAGTGAAATGAAAGTTATAAAATGGTAAAAGAATCATTGAAATCAGACATTGCATTATGAAGTTACAGGAGTAACAGCCTTCGAAGTTTACAATTTTGGACATTTATCAGGCAGAAACCATCAACAACCAAATCATTAAAAAATGTTGTTTGAACATCAGAAAATGGGGAAAGTAAGCATGATGTATAGTCTAGATACCTACTGTCTGTAGTCAAGGTTTAGTGCAACTGCAATCAAATAAATTTTAAAAATTGTGACGTTCCAACATGTTTTGGTCATTGTCTCCGAAACAGGATTTTATGAGGCGCCATCTGTTAACTTATTATTTAGCAAAAAATAACATGGCTTTTTACGTTATATATTTATATATTATTTTATATAATATATAATATTTTATATAATATATAATATTTTATATAATA